AACGTTTGTCTAAACATTGGTTATTTAATGGGGTATAGACATATTTAGCAAGAAGAGAAGCAGATAGTAAGAATAGCATTCTTTTGTAATTCAAAGGGAAATGCGTGCCCTAAAGATGCTCGGGGGTCGGGCATATCCCGAGGAGTGATCTCTAATAGTCATTGGGTTTACATCCCATAGAATCAAAAGAAGGACATTTAATGACTAATGCTACCCTTGACGCTAATATCCCTCTTTTTTGGAAGATCGTCTTTTTAAGGTACGGAGGGGAGACTTCCCTTTTCATTGTACGACTTGTTCTTTTGTAGGGTCGTACTTTAAAGAATTATCCTTAAAATCTGGTGGCTCTCTTATTCCTTGAGCATCCTTTTCCAAGCCCTTGTCTGGGCTGTACTCATATCTTTTCATTATATGGGCCACTTTTTATACTGCTAGGAAGTCTTTTCATATTTTCAAATGTCTTCTTCAGCCGCATCCATTTAAGGTATGGTAGACGGTTCGCTGATTCGAATGTAGTCTTTAACTTGAACCATGATCAATTTGTCGCCTACCACGAATTTGATTTTTCGGTGGAGCGTTGAAGAAATTGCCCTAGCACCGTGAATCCAAGGTCTGCTCAATCTTCCCCTTGGATTTTTTTTCCTCTTCCTCTTCGGTTCCTTTATTTTTCCTTTGTTTTTAGGAGCATTATCTTGTAGCTCCTTGGGGAATAAATTCTTTTGCTTCCCGTCGTGCCCCCAATACCGACTATATTGGAGATATCTTCATTGACGGACAATTCTTCTGTGCGTATCCACAATACAACTTTTATCCAATGTATAAGCGCAAAGGCGTTATTGCCCCTTCCCTGACATTATCAATTTGGGTACCGACATTTACTTCTTTCTTATTGTCTCCTTGTCCCAAATTGAAGGCCTTAGTTTTTTCCTTATGGGGCTGTATCAATTGAGCTTATTTTTCTAGCAGTCTTTACATGTCCGAGGAAATGGTCCCCTCCTCACTGTCTGATTCAATCCATTCGTCTTTAGCTTTCAGATCTTCCAGGGAGTTTTCAATCACAGACATGACTGTTATGGTTATGCTTTGGGTTTAGATTTTATTCAATTATTTTGGAATGAGAGAGAAAAGAATGAGAAGCATATGAATATTATGAAAAATGCCTCATTGTATTGATAGATGCAAATATTTACAAAGCCCACTTTAATAAAAAATCTCGTGATCATGGGCGGGGACAACGAGAGATACATCGGAAGCTTTTTGATATATTTTTTTTTTATTTCTTTTAACCAAAAGATACACAAAATGGGGAGCCCTAGTTAGCTGGCCTTCTCTACCAAAGCTCACTATTCTGGTTGTGATAGAGGTTTGATGTTTACGTTTGGGTTGGGAGCATCGAAAGTAATCCACCCGGTATTCAATAATTCTTGAACCCTATATTTCAGGTTGACGCAATTCTCCACGGAATGCCCAGGAGCACCTGAGTGGTAATCACATTTTTCGTTGAGTTTGTACCAACCGGGGTAAGGTGGATCTTTCTTCTTTGGGGAGATACGTGTTAAGAGCTTGGCCTCTAAAAGCCTTGGCAGCAGACTCCCATAAGAGATTGGGATGGGAGTGAATTTCTTCTCTTGTCTGCGTGACTGTCCGGCTAATGGCGAAGAGGAAAAAAGAGTAGCAAAGTTCATGGCATTTACACTTCCCTTCTTTTTCTTGTCAAAGGGCTTCTTGAATGATGCGTGGGATTTCTTAAACTTGGGAGGGAATTGAGTATTTTTGACAAGGTGTACATCGGTTACCTCCTTTACATCAAAGTTATGTCCCTCTAATGCCCTTAATCTCTACTCTAATGCAAAAATTCGTTGCTCAGAGATCGTATTGTGGAAGCATTGCTGATACATTAGCTTCGTTAATTGCGCTATTTGTTCCTTTATGACATGAAGCTCAGCGGTGAGCATACGGTTCTGCTCCTCTAATTTCTCCATCTTCTTGGCTTTTTGAGCGCGAGTGAGAACAGGTAGAAGACCAGCCACTTTCTAAATGATTTAAAGATTTTTATTATTATTGTTTTTCTTTTATTATGAATGATCAGTGTGGGATAGATATGCCTTAGACAATAGCTTTGGTATCTTCTCAAAAGCCTGTGTTTTAAGGGTACCATACCCACCTTAGTGTGTTAACTTCCTTTTTTTTTAAAAGGTTGCCAACATACCTTAGCGCACTTATCTCTTCTAGGAAGGTGATAAACGCACTTGGGTCTCTTTCGCTATTATCTATGGATATCTAATGCATCCTAGAATGAATGTGCTTTATGCATGCAGTACAAAAATACTTTCTTATGACAGCAGATATTGAAAGTGGCATAACTTTTGACTGGATTGTCCGATTTGGACGCACAACATGTCAAAACGAAGAAAAAAAGGTGAAGAAACGAAGGCGATTTGGCCCAGTAATTTTCCCAAAAAACGTCTCTAAGACCCATATTTTAGGGGTTTATTAAAATGATGAGCATGCTGCAATTATTTTCTTTCTTAATTTTACCACTTATTGGATGATATGGTATGAATGCTATGACTTTGCCAAGAATCTTTTTAAAGTAAAAGGCATTTTTATGGCTTTAATTGTTTTTATTTTTTATGACCCTTTATCTCTTCTGTCGGTCAACGTGGCTACTTAGCTTACAAAGAACCTGAAACCAGGCTAGCTTAACTGAAGACTGTCCGAGATAAAAGTCTTTTATCTTATCGCTTTTTTGATTTTTAGGGTTTTTCATTTTGTTTGTTTGTTGTATGATTACCCTATGCTAATGCATCAATACAAATGCAGCAAACGTATGCACACACAATTCATACATCCACGAGCAGAGCCACGCTTATTGAATCACGAGGTGGGATTTTCCTACAGAAACGTGCTTGGTTTAGGTGGTTCTAACTGTTCTCACCAGGCCAAAGGTCCCCAAGGTGCCCCCATTATAGGGACCTCTCAATCTCTCAATCCTCGGGTCATGCACGGAACTCCGTGGCGACACCCTTAGACCAAAAGAAGAGAGTTATCACCTTGAGTTGGTGGTTTTCCGACAACGGTAGTAGCCCCGTGTGCCAACTAACCGATCGTATCTGCCACCCACTCCCTATAGGTACTCACTCTTGCCCCCAGGTATAGAGGGACTGTTGTGTGCAAGGGTTTTTGTGTGCAATTTATATTTCAAACAAAAAATAATCATACAACAGTTATTTAAAGCCATACAATAAAAACATACAGAAGGGTAAAGGCGTAATTTCAAATCTTTGCTTAGTTTGAATTTATCCGTCACTAAATGGGATCAACTCTCGGGCTTCCCCAGTGGAGTTGCCATCTGTCGCCGCCGTCCGTTCCGACGTCCCGGGGACGTCTCGAACGTTTATGCGAGCGGTCGCAAAAAGATGGTTGAGACTCGCGTTTTTTGTTTAAAACATGTTCATTGCTTCCGAGGCGCTCAACACTGAACTATCCTCTAATAGAAGCAAGGTTTTCGAAAAGGGTTCTTCTGGAGTCGCCACCAATGTTTTGACCATAAACATTGGAAAAGGAGAAAAAGGCGTTGATTTTATTAAAAACCAACTTGGCCATTATAACCAGAGTTGGGTAAGGGAGTTAGTTACGTGTGAGGAAGGTGTTAGCACCCCACAACGCCCCTTTCGGGTTCCCTATGACGGATTTATTCATTAAGTGAAGATTATGAGAAATTACGCATTTACCCTATTTTATTCGTACAGTTATTTAGATATGGTTATCTACATGATGTATTTACATTGCATACAGAAAACAATAAATAAAGAAATAAAGAAGAAGAGAATTGAGAAAAACCTCCGTAGCAAGCTTTATATTATGATTCTTGTACAAAGAGGACGCGTTTCGGCAGTCCTTCGCTCTACAATTGTTCTCTCCTCTCGTCTACCCTAATCGACTCGACTAATTTTCTAGAAGAAATCGAATGCCGGAATACAAATTCCTTAACTGATTGTTACCTTTTAAAGGCAATCAGAAAGATCATTCGAGAGAGGGAGAGAAGAAGACAAGTCTCTGAGTTGTCTGGTGTGTGGAGAATGACAAATGAGGCTCCTATTTATAGTAAATTTTGCCCTGGAACTTTGGGACGGCCGTCTGGGTTGGGACGGCCGTCCCAAACGTGTTTTATGCGTTGTGCCAATCTGGGACGGCCAGTCTGGGTTGGGACGGCCGTCCCAAATGCAGTTTTGTTCACGTTGGGACCCCCTGGGGTTTGGGACGGCCGTCCCACATTCGGGACGCGCGTCCCAACTGCTTAATTTCAGTTGGGACGGCCGTCCCAACCCTGGGATGGTGGTCTCGACCCGTTTTGTCCAGCCTTTGTATTTTGGGACCCCGGGAAGCTTTCCTTGCCGTTTTCGGACGTGGATTGGTGCCGATATATGTCCGTTGAAGCTTTATCTTCGTGTAGGAAGCCTTCTTGGCCTTCATTTGTTGGGCGAGCTTTATCTATGTATAGGAAGTCTCCTTTGTGTGGATGAGTGAACTCCGTCTTTTTTATGAAATGTCTTCTTTAGTCTTTATCGTGCATATGAGCGAACTTCATGTTTGTTGCAGGAGGTTTCCTCAGTTTTTGGGAAGTCGGATGAACTCCATCTTCGGGCGAAGTTCCTCTAGCTTTTATTTTGAGAGGCCGGGCAAAATTAGGGGTCTACATTCCCTATGATGGACCATTTTTATAAAGAAATAAGAACTTTAAAACTACGCTTTTACCCTTATTTATTCATTGCAAAAATTAAGTTATTGACTACATGGCCCTTAATAAATAATGCACAGAGATATTATCTAAAAATCAATAAAATAGAGAAAGAGGTATGGAAGAACTTTCGAAGCAATCTTTTATATAGTACGTTCTTGAAAAGGGCTCTTTTTGGCAACCCCACGCTCTATAATGATGTTCGCTCTTTTCTCGCAACACTTTAGAACGTTTTCTAAGAACTCTAAGAACTTTGGAAATGCTTCAGAGGGGTCCTAGGAGAGTATTTTGAGAATTGTGAAGTAGGAGAAGTTGTAAAATTGTGTGGAAACAAGGAGAAGGTCTCCCCCCTTTATAGGAATTTGTACTTGTCAGGTCGGGATTGCCGCCTTGCCTGACAAGGTCGGGACCACCGTCTCGCGAAACGAGACGGCGGTCTCGCCTTTGGTGAGTGGCAAGACGGTGGTCTCGCCAAACGAGACGGCGGTCTTGCCAAATGGGATGGTGGTCTCGACCCTTTGGGTGGAATTTCTTATTTTTCGTGTACAAAAATTCTTCTTATTTGAATATGGGGCCTATTGATCAATCTAGGGAACTTTTAGGACTTGCCCATCTTCGAACGGAAGTCTTTTGCTCTTTATTTTGAGGTTGGGCTAGATTTGGGGTCTACAGCGGGGACTGCCAAAAAGCGTCCTCAAATTCAAGATTTATAAAAGCCCGCTTCAGAGGTTCTTCTTCATATCTCTTCTTTTTTATCGCTTTCTTTTACTGCTTTCCTTTTATGTGCATTAGTTATTAGAGCCATGTAGATAGTCATTTAAATAGTGCAATGAATAAATAGGGTAAAAGCATAATTTTTATGTCTTTATTTTTAAGATTATTCCATCATAGGGAACCCGAAAGGGGCGTTGTGGGGTGCTAATACCTTCCCCACATGTAACTAACCCCCTTACCTAATTCTGGTTATAATAGTCAAAGTTGGATTTTCTTAAACCAACGCCTTCTTTTTTTTTCTTTTTTCAATGTTTATGGTAAAAACATTAGTGGTGATTCCAAAACCTCTTACGAAAACCTCACTCTTAAGGGTAGTTCGGTTATCAGACATCCTAAGAGTGATGACCACATTTTTACACAAAACGCGAGTCACAAAACTATCGCATCGCGACCGCTCGCATTTATTATTTTCCCGTGCCGATAAGCGACTCCACTGGGGAAGTCATGAGAGTTGATCCCATTTAGTGATGGAATAATCTAAAAAATAGTAGATATATAATTATGCCTCTACCCTTTCTTTGTTTGAATAACATGCTTTATTGTATGGCTTTAATAAACTGTTGTTTGTTTATTTTCTGCAATTGTTTTAAATAAAAACTACATACAACCCTTGCACACAATAATCCCTCTTTACCCGGGGGCAAAAGCGAATACATATAGGGAGTGGGTGGTGTTTATGGCCGGTCGTGGTAATGGCCATAGTGCCAGCATGTCGTTGTCAGAAGCCACCACTCAAGGTGATAAACCTCCCATCTCAGTTTGCAGGACGTCAACAAGGCACTTGAGTCACACATGGTTTGAGGGCTGAGAGACCGTGGGAACCCTATAATAGGGGCACCTTGGGGACCTGACCTTGGTGAGGACAATTAGAACCTACCTTTGCCAATGCACTTTTCTGAAGGAAACCCCTACCTCATAATTAAACGTTGTCACTTTGTTCACAGATGAGTGAATTGTTTGTGCATATATTTGTTGCATTTTGTTTGTCACATTTGCATAGCATAATCATACAACAACAAAAAAATGAACAAAAATTCTTAAAATAATATTATTTTAAAACCTTTTTTGCTATGACCCACCTTATCTCGGACAATCTTCATTTAATTTAGCCTGGTTTTGGGTTCTTTGTAAGTTAAGTAGCCACGTTGACCTATAGAAGAGATAAGGAGTCATAAAAACAAATAAAAACCTTTTTTCAATAACAAACCAACTTTATCTCGGACAATCTTCATTTAAGCTAGCATGGTTTCAAGTTCTTTGTAAGCTAAGTAGCCACGTTGACTTACAGAAGAGATAAAAGGGTTTAAAAAAATACAATAAAACGTATTTTGACAAAGTTAAAACATTTATTTCAAAATAAACAAAATAATAAAAAGATTTTGATAAAGTCAAACCATTCATACCTCATCATTTCAAGAGTGGTAAAATAAGAGAGAAAATAAATGCATAAGAAAGGTATGTATACACATCATCCTAATAAAATCTTTCATGCATAAATTCATTCGTTCTGGGAGGGATTAGATATCCTTAAGACAAAGTCGAAAGAGACCCAAGTGAGTTTGTAACGTTCATTATACTTGTCAATGACAAGGAAGGGGCAAGTGTGCTAAGGTGTGTGGTAACCTTCGTTACACTTGTCAAATCCATGATGGGGAAGGAACCATTATACCAAGATGGGTATGGTGCTCCATAAAGCGTAAACTTTAAGGAGGACACCAAAGTCATTGACTTAAGGCGTATCTATCCCACACTAATCATTCATTCCACAAAATGAAAATAAAAATAAAAAGCCTAATGCATTTTGCATTCTAGAGAGTGGTTGGTCTTCTTCCTGACCTTACTCGCGCACAAAAGGCCAAAAGGATGGAGTATCTAGAGGAGCAAAATTGTAAGCTCATCGCTGAGCTTAACTCCATGAAAGAACAAATGGCACAGTTAATGGAGTTAATGCGTCAGCAGAACTTACGCAAGGAGATCCCTCATAGCGACCACACCTCACATCATGAGGAAGAAGAGGGCTCTGACCATGAGCTTAAGCAGGGAGCTCATGTACAACCCGAAGTGAGGGCAGTAATCATCCAACCTCCCGAAGTTTCCAAACAATAGATTTCTGCCCTCGAAGAGAGGATAAGGGCTATGGAGGGATATAATTTTGATGTTAAAGAGGCGGTCGACATGTGCCTCATTAAGAATATCCAATTCCCTCCAAAGTTCAAGGTTCCAGACTTTCCAAGTACATGGGGATTACTTGTCCTAAGAGCCATCTTACAATGTATTGCCGTAAGATGGCTCCATATGCCGATAATGAGGAACTCTTGATCCACTGTTTTCAGGAAAGCTTGGCCGACTCAGCCTTGAACTGGTATATGCAACTGGAACGGGGATAAGTCCAAACCTGGAAACAGCTGGCAGACGCCTTCCTTCGCCGTTATAAATATAACATCGGTCTGACTCTGGATAGGTCATATCTTCAAGCTCTAAGCAAGAGAAACGACGAATCCTTCAAGGCGTATGCCCAATGTTGGAGGGATTTGGCCGCCCAAGTAGAGCCTCCACTATCAGATAAGGAAACCACACCCATGTTCATCAACTTGCTGACGGGTCCCTATTATGATAAGATGATAGGGAACATGTCAACCCTATTTGCGAATGTGGTGACCATCGGTGAAAGAGTGGAATAGGGACTAAAGAGTGGGAGGATTGCACAACCTTCCCTCATCCAATGTATCATTCAAGAAGTTCCTTAGCAAGAAGGAGGAGAGAAGCGTGAATGTCATCAACCTTGCTACTCCTTCTTTCTCTTCACGACCAGCTAGGAAGTTGAGGAATCAAGAGAGAAAATTTACTCCCCTTCTAACCTCCTATAGGAGTCTGCTGACAAAGTTGGTAGAGGCCAACCTCCTAGAACGTGTCCCTCTGAAGAGGATGGATCCACCCTACCCTGATTGGTACAAGCCAAATGAAGAATATGATTACCACTCAGGTGCTCCTGGGCATACCGTGGAGAATTGTATGACCTTGAAGTATAAGGTCCAAACTTTGTTAGATGTCAGGTGGATCACATTCGAACATCCCGCTCTTAATGTGGACACCCAACCTCTATCACAACCAGAATAGTGGGGTTCAACAAGAGAAAGCCAGCTGATTAGGGCTCCTTATGTTAACATTCATTTTTTAGCTTCTAGTGTATATCTCGCGGCCCCTGCCCGTGGCTGCGAGATCTTTGATTAAAAGGGCTTTGTGAATATTTCTCTTTTATCAATACAATGAGGCATTGGCATAACATTCATATTCTTTTCATTCTTTTCTCCCTCATTATTATTTCAAAATAAATGATAATAAAGTTTAAGCCTAAATAGAACCTAAAATAAAAACAATCGTGTTTGTGATCGATGACTCTCTGTGGGATCCGAAAGTCGAAGGTGAATGGGTTGAGTCAGACAGTGAGAAGGGGACCATCTCCCCGGACATGCATAGGCTGCTAGAAAAGGAAGCTCGATCTATACATCCCTATTAAAAAGAAACTGAGGCCATCAATTTGGGGGCAAGGAAAGGATAAAAAGGAAATGAGCATTAATACCCAAATCGATGATAACTTCAGGGAAGGGATAGTATAACTATTAAAGGAGTATATGGACGCATGCGCATGGTCCTACCATGATATGCCAAGACATCAAAATCCAACATCATGAGTCCTCTCCCTACCGACTTAAAACGAATGGTGCAGTGGGGGCAACCAATAAAGAACATCAAGACGATCATCCAAAAGATGGTAAAAACCTATAAGGATTGGTATGAAATGATACCCTCTGCCCATCATAGATATCGAATTTCTGTACGGACCTCCACAGGAGATACTCCATTCCCCTTTGTCTATGGCATGGAGGTCGTACTTCCAATAGAGGTCGAGATACCTTCCTTTGCAAGTTATCATGGAAGTTTTGAACATACAAATATATGAAGCTTGAATATTTTGATGATGATTCAAGAACAGCAGACTTAAAGACTTGAAGACTTATAATCATCTGTATTTACTTGTAATAACTCTGTTTTTTCTTTTTGAGTCTGTAAAATTAGAGTCCAAGATAGCCAACACATAATCCATACTCTGAAAGTTCATATTTATCAAAACAACTCTGTAATAATCGATTATCACTCAGGATAATCAATTATCATGCTTCGAAACCTATTTTCTGAAAACCTTGCTGGAATAATCGATTATCTAGGTTGATAATCGATTATCCCAGTTTGAAAGTTCTGGAATAATCGATTATCACTTAGGATAATCGATTATCCTGGTCCAAAACTTCTCCTTTGCAAAAATGGTTCTGTAATAATCGATTACCACTCAAGATAATCGATTATCTACGTCTGTTATGAGTTTTGAATTTCAAATATGGACCAATTTACGAAAACCCTTTTCCCAACAATTCAAGTTTCGAAAATCATTATTTCGCAGATCCTATTCTCTCTACTTAAGGTTCTCTAAGGCTCTCTGCAAAATAACAATCATTTTTCATACAAAAGTTAAGAGTTGTGATTGTTAGAGGATTTTGTGTAGGAAAAAAAAGGGGCTTTTGAAAACCTAGTGTGGGCTAGAAGCGATAAGAATCACTGATTGGGTTTCTTGGTGGATTAAGTGTTATGCAGTCTCTAGGAAAAGTTGTTGTTCATCCTTTGTGGATTCAAAGGAGGTGTTTATCTCTTGTGTGACTCAAGAGAGGTGTTTTCTATTCCTTATCTTTTTCAATTTGTAATCTATTGTAACTTGTAATTATAGTGACAATGTTAATCCTCTTTTAGAGTGA